ACGAGTCGGAGCATTTCGGCGACGATGACAAGGTTCAATTGTCTTCAGCTGGACTTGCCGCCCCTGGGTGGCGGGGGGAAGAAGGAAGTGGCATTAGAGGAGGTAATCGAGCATTCCTTCCGGGAGGAGGTGATCGAAAGCAGCGACGGAACATTCCTTCGGAAAAAGCTCTGCCTGGATGCGCTCCCTCCCGTCCTCATTCTCCACCTCAAGCGCTTCATTTTTGACCTCCATCAAGGGGTGGGCGTCAAGCTGCACCACAGAGTCCACTATCCGTCCTGCCTCAGGCTGCCTTCTCAGATGCTCTCAGTAAGTCTGCGGACGACGGCCGGGATCGAGGGGGGAAAAGGCGAGGGAAAGGGCCCTGCATACGAGCTGTTTGCGGTGGGGCTGCACTATGGTCGTTCCTTGAACGGTGGCCACTACACGGTGTTTTGCAAGGAGGGGGGGGGTGGAAAGGAGTGGGTGGGATACGACGACGAGCGCGTCGATCGGGTTCAAGAATGGGAGGTAAAGAGTTATACAGAGCAAGTCTACCTCCTTTTCTATGAACGGGTTTAGGTCGGGGAGAGAGAGGGGTCGGTGGGAAGGGAAAGACAGGGCTGTACAGCGGTCAGGCAAGGATGGTGGAAAATCGTTCAAATGAAGTAAGCTACCGGCGACTACCCCTTGCTTGGCTCGTTTTTAGGAAAATTCTAGTCGTTCGCGTTCTGCCTCCTGCGTACATTTTGCCCATCTTTTAAAATTTTAAAGGGGGTCATGCAGACGGTGGAAGCTTAGCCACGCAGGCTTTCCGCTCCGTGTAACCAATGGTCAGGACTAGGCAATGCATGGGCAGAGATTGTGCGGCTCAAGCTCGTGCTGGCGAGTTGATCGGGGCAGCATCCAAAATAGAGCTTGATTCCGGCGACAGTGGTGGGAATCGAGATTGTGTCAGGAATAAGGATAGCATTCGGACTGTGCGACAGCTAAGACTAGAGCGGGATGGTAGACTACACGCAAGGGCGGAGGCCTCGTGGGACAGGCGGACCCTGGCAATTGAAGCTACGTACCCCTGTGGAAATTAAGCGTAAAAACCGTCTTACAAAGTAATCGACTAACAGCATCTCTTATATTTTTCCTTTGTTGCTAGTTGATGGAGGTGGTCACTTTGCCATGACCTTTTAAAAGGCCCTGCGAGGATGGCGCACCGGCGGAAGAGCCCTAATGGTTATGACGATCCTCTCCACGGCAAGGCTCGCACATAATCTACCTTTTTCCTCCCTCTTTCATCAAAACCCATTCTTTTTTAGCTTTTTTTTCAAAAAAAAAGAGAGTTTTCACCTCGGGGCACTGCTTTGCCTAGCTTATCTGAAGCCTTAGTCGCACAACAGTGACTCGCGGGTGTCTACCTTGGTCTTGGGATTCGTGCCTAAAGGAAAACAATTGTCCGAGTTTGAGCTTGTTCATCGAGGCCTCAAAATTTCCGCCCCTCCAAGAGTCCAAGACATTCTCCACACACTCCGGCACCCATGCCAACCGTGGCTCCAACACTCTGCGTACCTGTCGCCTTCTCGCAGAGCTTTTTTTGAACGAAACGGTCGAGCAACGTGTCGGAGAAATCCGCACCCTCAATGGAACCAACTTTCAGGACTGTTTCCGTGAAGTAGGCGTTGTTGACGATCGCGTCCTTGAGAATAGCGTCGACCATATTCGCTCCCTCGAAGGAGGCGCTGGTTAGGTCGGCTCCTGCGGGGAAATGCGGTGAAAGCAAGCGATAAATTTGCTGATAGATAATGTCATGCCCTTGGATATGTTACATTTATGTTTTTGATGTTTTGCATCTCTGTGTGGCTCGCTGCTCTTTCTCAAGGAAACCTACCGGTAAAATCAGCCTCAGTCAAGGCCGACTTGTAAAAACGCGCACCCATAAGCTTTGCTCCCTTGAAATTGGCGCGTTGCTGTATGCACGTAATTTGAATTTATTAAATACAGAAATATAAATTGCTTGATAAATTGCTTGATTCACACTCCTGCCTTCAATATGGACTCACTACCCCATCAAAAATCCCTCCCCCGTACCCCGCCAAAACCATGACCCACCGCAAAAGCCCCCGAAAAGTCTTTTTTACTGAAGTCTTTTCCACTGAAGTCTTGATCTGCAATTTTGGCCTCTGCGTAATCTTTTCCTCCACCGGAAATGGCGTGTGCAGTGGGTACATCCAAAAACGGACCGAGGAGAAGAATCGGAGCAAAACTCAGAAGCCGGCGGATGGAGATGATGATGGGATTTGAGGATGGCAAGGATGACGATGCTGAAGAAATTGCCACCGTTGTCCTTAGTATTTTTTATTCGAAATCAGATAAGATGTGTGTCCCTATGGATACTTTCAGGGCACTAAGAAAGACGTCACGGACATGGAGGGAAAATCAGCTGACCTGCGGCAAGACGAAGGCATCTTTCCCCGTACAACAAAAGATTGGACGCTAATGCAACTGATCAGGAGAAAAAGCATAGCAGGTTGCAGTGTCGGACGCATGGCTGTGGGTGCTGCTGTATGGGGACAAGGTAAGAAGCAATAGCTTCAAGTCATTGAAAGGAATGATTCATTGTCCACGGGGTTCGACAGGCAGGAGGTTAGATAGAGCGGAGTTGGAAGTGAGGCCTTTAAAGAAGGCAACAAAAATATTGAAAGGTCAAATAAACGTCAATCGTTGTTGTATCTATGGAGTTATACTGAGTTGCTCGTGGGGAAAAAAACACCAGTTGCGCTATCGCTTTTCTCGTTTTCAATCTAGCGTCGTTCTTCGTGACTCGCGAACTGAAGCATGAGAAATACAGACTGTCACACAAAACGCTTTTATATATCACAGGGGATAAAATGATGACGAGTAATGACACGTCTGGTACAAGTACACCCTCCATGGCACAGTGCGATCGTTGGCCTGCACTGGAGAGCGATGCGGAGGTCTATACGGCATTGCTACATACACTATTAAGCCCTTCATCTACGCCTTCAGACACCCGCACCCCTTCATGTCCATTTTTTTTCCAAGATGTATTCTCTTTGGACGATGATTACTTGGGGTTTGTGCACGGAGAGACGCTGGCATTGATACTCGCGTATGACGATCGCGCGCTCAATCCGAGTCAAGAGTCTCCACCTGATCCTCAACTGCCAATCGCACCTATTTTTATCAAGCAACTTCCCGTCCTCGACAATGCCTGCGGCACGATTGCGTTACTTCATGCAATAATCAACACACTGCCAGCTTCCACCATTCCATCATCCTCGCTTCTTGCCAAGTTTGTGTCACCGATACAGGCTGGGGAAACGTCATTTACAAGTGAAAGCTTAGGAATACGCTTGGACGCTCACGAAGGAATTCGCGCCGCACACTGGTGCGTTCCCTAAAGATAACATGTAAAATGATGTATCTCCCTATGTATAAAGTGTTCTTTCCCTCTTCGAGTTTGCTCTGGGATCCGCCAATTGGGGGGCCTCGTTATTACTTTGGCATTTCGAATTCGTATCTGATTTCCTATTTTAAGTCAATGGCATACGTCAATAGATGAAAATTTGATGTGATAAGTTGATTGTTTTATGAACGAGAGAAATATTAACACCTCTGACGATCTTCTCGCATTACCATCTCACAGTGAGCATGCTGCTCAAGGACAGAGCGAGCAAGTCCAAGGTGATGCAGTGCGCTATCACTTCATCTGTTTGATTCCTAATCCATTATCGCCCTATCCATCTGTTCTTGAGCTTGACGGTCTTAAAGCACACCCAATCATACACGTTGGGGGAAGTGAGAATGGAAAAAAGGGAGAAACGTTTTTGCAAATGGGCGCAATGGTGTTGAAGCGTGAGTTCCTGGCGCAATTCAGCAATGCAGATGAGACACAAATAAATGTTCTGGCCCTTGTTCGCGAGGATCCATGAAAGTATGCCCAAAAAAAGACAAGGCGGTACTACCCGTCTTCAAATTTTGTCGCAGGCAAAGAAAGACAAGGAGGTACTACGCGTCCTCAAACATTGTCACAGGTTGTTTCTTTCAAAAACAAAGAGATGTTACAAAAAAGCCACAGCACGCATGCTCTCTCTTATAGCATGCATATATCATTTGTACACATGCTGAACAAGCTTCGCCCGAACACAGTGTCTCGAGGCATGATTTGGACGTGGGCCATGGCTTCTGGTCACGCAGAATGTCATGCCAACTGTTTTTTTTTATAATGACCAATCCCAACACAACTGGTCTAACATAAACGCGCAAAAGTAAATTTTGTGTGATATTTGTAAAAACTTTACTGGAGGCATGCCCTTCGTCCGTTCAGTTTCTGCCGACGTCTTTTTTAGGACAATGGATAGCAGGCACCCATGCAGGGCCTCAGGGCGATGGATTTGCATGCATGAATCCATGTTGAAGAACAATGTGTGTATCTCTGTGCCCCCCGCGAATCATGACCCCTGCCGTGCCCTGTCATGTCCGTCGAATAATTTTCGGAGGATTGCCTCGTCTTGTTGCGCCTTCGCGCGCGTCTGCATGTGAGAGGCGGCCGTAATGTTGAGCGAAGTTGACGACGTCGTTAAGTTGAAGCGAAAGGAGCGTCGCGTTAGAAGCGGCGACGTCCCTGCATAGTACTTGGACGCGTGTACGCACGAGTTTCCCGTGACGTGGACACCGGGCAAGGTCGTAGCCTGCCGCGGTTCGGCATGCGTCCAAGCGTATTCTAGCTGATTAATTTGTGTACAGTGTGTCCTGGGAGGGCCTCGGTGGTGGAACACGATGAATTTTAGAGAGGACAAGTCCGAGGTCCGCCTGGGGCCTCAAAATGGAGGAGGACGACACATGCACACTCGTACATGGTCATGAATGACGTTCGGTCCTCTTTTAACCATCGGCAACATCCGCATGTATGATATCCATAGAAATGAAAGCGATGTTCAGGCTGTTGGGTCATCGTTTTATGTGTCTCTGGAAACCCGGTGGACAACTCGATTGCTCGGACTTTCCATGTGAGGAAATCCCTCTACCGAAATTTTAGGAGCCTTGAGCATCCGTCCATACGGGCTGGCCTCTTTAGATACTTTCGACGATCGTAGGACAACAAATTTCAATGGTATATCTTGATCCATCTTTTCATCCACGGCAATTAGGCGCGAAACCCGGCCCCAGGAGGGCTTTATTCGCGGCGAGGACCCTGGCATGGGAAGGCGAAACTTGGAATGAGGAGCGTGGCCTGAAGAGAGAAGGCCTGGAAACCGTGTGATGCAACGTGGTAAAACGCACCCTCTGTGATTCCTGAGAGTGGAACGTCGGTATTCACCAGCAGTGCTGAGCGGGACCAGGGTGGGGGGTGTGGGCTAGCGTCGAGTTTTCTCAACGGAGAGGGGGCATGGAAGAAAATCATGACCATCTACTGCAGGCGCCCAAAGCTGCAATTGGCTACGAAGATAACTTGGAGGGGGATCGAGGAGGACGTGAGGGTCGTGTTCAAGCGCATGGGGGAGGGCTTCGGACCACGATGTCCACGGTGGCCTCTGTTGGAGAAGGCTTGAAGCGACGGGCGTCGGGGAAGCCAGAGAAGCCCAGACAAGGAGCTTTGCACGACCCCTTGGGCCACGACGATGAAGATGCTTTCCGTGAACTGGACGAGTGTTTCCACAACGCTGACGGGCTGATGCCCCGGGTATCTCGGGAAGAGGACTTGGTCTATCTAGGGGGAAAAGGAGGCCCTGCTCTGTTCGCGCTCCACCATCAAGGTCAGGCGGGCATGTCTCCTCCGTTGCATGAGAGTGGAGACTTAAACGTGTCCGGGAGCGAGGGCGAAAAGCTCTCGAATCGCGGTGTCTTTCTCACAGGTAAGGAGGCGGCAAAGCTCCGGTCCCGGGAGCCACTCGCCGGAGACACCGTGTCGAGAGGAGAGACCGGAGGGGACATCCACCGTACGGAAAGTGCCTCAAGTGACCAAACTTCCGGCTGCGACAGCCATGCCAGCAGCATCAGCACGGGGGCTACGGCACTGAGCAAGAAGCGGCCGTGGAAGCCGGAGGAGGATGAGTACTTGCGCGCTTTGGTTCACCGTCAAGGCGCGCGGGACTGGGGCCAGATTGCGGAACATTTTGAGAATCGGAACGGAAAGCAATGCCACCAGCGTTGGAACTACTTTTTGAGCCCCACGGTTCACTCTGGGGCCTGGACCGCGGAGGAGGACGAGAAGATCGTGAATTTCCAATGTCTTCTCGGCAATAAGTGGGCGCGAATTGCTACCCATATACCCGGACGTACGGGGCACGCAGTGAAAAACCGGGCCCACCAGATTGCGAACAAGATGAGGAAACGCGAGCGGAAACGTGCGCGAAGCCAGGGGTGGGTGGAAGGGAAGGGAGGG